GCCCATGCTGCGCCTGGGCTGGGACTGGTCCTGCTGGCGCAGGGTAGCAGGAAGCTCTCCACACACTCACCGGACCTGAGCTAGGACTCTCCAGTCCTAGTATTTTAAGGAGTCTCCATACTGTTTTCCATAATGGTTACACCAGTCTACTTTTGGAGAAGGGTTCTTTTTTCCTTACAGCCTCTCTAACATTTGTTGTTGGTTCATTTCTTTATGATAGTCATTCTTTGTGGGGTAACATGATATTTCAGTGTTCTTTTAATTTGCATTCTACGGATGGTTAGTGATGTGGAGCATTTTCAAATATATTTATTCGCTTCTTTAATTTCATCCTCTAAAAAGTGTGTGTTCATCTTGGATGCCCATTTCTGGATTGGGAGTTTAAATTTTGGGTTCCTAATGATTTTTAGTTCTTTATAAATTCTAGATAGCAGATCTTTGTCTGAGTGCTTATCTGTCAACATTTTTTCGAAATCTGTGTGTTGTCTTTTCATTTTGTTGGTAATTTCTTTTGATGTGCAAAAACTTCTCAATAAGAGAAGATCCCAGTTGTTAATTCTTTCAATTGTTACCCGTGCAATTTGACTTTTGTTCATGAACTCTTTGCCTACCCCTATGTCTTCAAGAGTTCCTCCTACTTTCTCTACCAGGAGATTTAGTGTTTCTGTATTAATGTTTAGATCTTTAATCCATTTTGACTTTAGCTTAGTGCATGGTGATAGACCTAGGTCAAGTTGTAGTTCTTGGCATGTAGAGAGCCAGTTTTTCCAGCACCATTTGTTAACAAGGCTATCTTTCTTCCAGTGACCATGTTTGGCCTCTTTGTCAAAGATAAGGTGGCTCAGAGTGATCCTAGAGGCTTCTGTGTCTTCTGGTCTATTCCCCTGATTGTCAGGTCTATTTCACTTCCAGTACCATGCTGACTTTATCACAGTAGCCTTGTAGTATAATTTCAAGTCAGGAATTGTAATGCCTCCTGCCTTGTCTTTCTTGGGCAGCACTGCCTTTGCTATTCTAGGTTGTTTCTGGCTCCAAATATATTTTACAGGTGATTTCCCTACTTCTGTGTGGTATGTTGGTGGTAGTTTTATAAGGATTACATTAAATTGGAGACCCATCTTTGACAAAATAGAGTACCCATCTCTGACAAAACTAAATAAAAAAAGGGGAAACAAATGAACAACCAGCTCAGTGGAATAAGTGCCTGCCTAGCAAGCGCAGGGTCCTGAGTTCAATCCCTGGTACCAAAAAAATTTTTAAAAAAATTAAAAATAGGTTATTAAAGAAATGAACAACCATTTTTGTATCTGTATAAATAGGATAGATATACAGCTACATTATCTTAATTCAATGAATAGAAAGATTTATTCTAATAGTGTTTGTGGACAGGATATCATGTCTGCATCTTGTACAATGAATAACCACTAAGACAACAATATGCAATGTATTAATTATTGAAACTGTCCTACTAATCGGTTTTGAAACTTTCTCATTGCTATTTGTTTCTGAATAAAATTGTTAAAAAATAAAATGTCTGGTTTCAAGCAAAATAATGAGACATGCAAAGGAACAGGAAAGTGTAATGCAGTCAAAGGGGAAAAAAAGGTACTAGGAGCTGTTTCACATGGAGAACCAAACAGATACATACAAAGCAGGGACTCCGTTAAACATAATGACATAAGTATAATAGGAGAGCCCTAAGGTGAGAAGAAAAAGAAACAGAAAAGATATTTGAAGAAATAATGGCTAAAATGTCCTAATTTGATGAATAACATAATTTACATAGCCATGAAATCAAATAAACTCTTAGTACAATAAATGTAAACATACCTACAGCCAGATAAATCACTAAGTGTTAAAAGCAAGAGATAAAATACTGAAAGCAATACGACAGACAACTCATCATATTGACAAGGCAATAGTATTAATAGTTAATTTCTTAAAAGAAACAATGGAAGGCAGAGGCAATGGGTGACATGTTCTAAGAAGAAAAATATTCCTTACACCCACTAGTTTCTCACAACTACTGATATGTGCTTAAATTTACAAAGACAGGAGGAAGCAAGGTAAGAGTAGAAAAATTACAGATATCTGTATTCTTGGATAAGTACGAAGTTACTATATTTGTTTTGACTTCAATGTAGTACACACAAATAAAGGTAGTTATTAAAAGATTTAAAAGTCTTAAGTTTGAAATAATGAAAGAAATTTTAAAAAGCTGATGATTCTAATATAGAAAAAATTATCTGTCACATTACATATTAATTTAAGTGACAATATTTTGGAGAAAATGCAGACATGTAAGCTGTATCACTTTTTCTGTCCACTGTGTTTTGGCCACACACTTTGTTGTCTTCCTACATGTATGTTCTAGCATTAGAGTCTCTGAATTAGCAAGTTTCTCTTTTGAGAAGATATTTTTCCTCAGTATCTCTAGTTCCCTCAGTTTAAGTCATTGCTCAAATGTCACAACGTTTCATTTAAAATGTATGATTAATTCCTAACGGGGTAGCCAGCCTTCAACATGGCCAAAATCAACCCTCCCCTCCAGGTATTCATGCCCTTACATAGCCCCTTTTCCCACTGAATAGATGTGATCTGTTTAACAAACAGGAAGTATAGCTACTTGACAAACTGCACTGTGTTTGTTCTGTCTTTATTTCTTTATCACTCATTCTGAAGCAAGGCAGCTACCATGCTGTGAGATATTAACACTAATAGGGCATCTATGTGGCAACAGATGAAGTGCTCTGCCAACAGCCAGTGAAAAATTGAGGGCTCCTCTCCAGAGGCAGGTGAATGAGCCATCTCAGAAGGCATCTGTCGGCTCTAGTCTGAGGTCATCGTCTGATTACATCTTCCTAAAAGGCCCTAAGCAAAAGCCAATTAGCTAAGTTGCTCCAGATTTTCTGAACCTCAGAAACAAATGAGAAAATAAATGTTGCTTTAAGCCACTAATTTATGAAGTATAATTTGTTAGACAGCAATATATTTACACTTGGCTAATATAAAAAGTGTGATAAATTATTGTGGTTTCTGTTCTTTAGTTTTTTTAATCTTAGAAATACTGTACATACAGTTATTGAAAAGTACTTTCAACTATAAAAATGAATCCTGTAAAATATCTTGGCTTATAATTATCTAATAAGGAAAGGCTAAGTTAAAGCTTAAAATATCTTTGGTAAGATAAATTTACTTTGTTTTTCTTAAATAATCAGGGAGAGAAAGTACTGCCTAACGTGTGACAGAAAATGCCAATACTAGCTATAGCTGGTAAAAGGTAGACAATCATTGAGTCAGTAGTATGTTCTAAAATAATTTGCTGTATAGCCTACTCATAACCACTACTAGACACTCGGGGACCACAAGGACTACCAGAAAATATATGGTCATGAATTACACAAAACAGGATTTTCTTTTTCTTTCCTTTTTTTTTTTCTTTTAAAACGTATCAGTTATTTAATTAGGTTGTTAGTAAGAAATTTAGAACACTAATTTATGAAGATAAATTCCATTTGTCAGAGCAAAAACAGATCACAGGTAACCCCGGAGCTGAAGAACACCTTCGATTTTTGCTAAAATCTCTGGGTCCACTGCTTTCTGATCCACCTTGCGCTGCTCTGGAATCTGGTATCTCTCTTTCTTGGTGTCAAAGATCTCACCCTTCTTGTGTCTGGGCTTCTGCAGCTGCTGCTTCTTTTTGAAGCATCAGTGAGGTGTTTGTGGATTTTCACTTTGCTGATGTCAATTTTTGTAGAGGGGGCAGTGACTTATTTCTAGTGGGTTCTTCATAGAGGACTACAATTAAGGCTAAGAGGCCCAGTCACAAGTAGCAAGCCACTGGCCAACTGCTTCAGCAAGACCACTCTCTTGCCTCTGTGATGCCCGGTGAGGATGATCAAGATGGTGCAAGGAGTGATGCTAGCTGGAAGTTTCCTCACATGCTGACTGAAGGTTTTCTTGCCATGGCTCAAGAGCTTTTGGGGCCTATCTTCAGTAGGGTAGTATCTAGGCATTTTTCGAAGCTTAACCACCTGGCTACCTCTGTTCTTGTTTCCACAAACTGGTTTTGTGATCGTAGTAAGAACTTTCTCCTTCCTTTTCTTCTCAACCTTTGATTTAGCAGCTGTGTACTTTCTCTTGTACAAAGCCTTTCTGGAATACATTGCAGATCAGGAGTATCTACCAACTTCTCTAACCAGGACAGGATTTTGGCTGCAGAGGGGCTGCCCCTTCTTGGATTTTTTTTTTTTTTTTGCCTTTTTCACCTTACCCTTTTTACCAGTACCACTGGCAGAATCCTTCTGGGCTTCGGGTTTCTTCTCTTTAGTGTCTGGCTTTTCAGTTTTTTCACCTGTTATCTTGCAAGATGGGAAAGAGAGCAGGATTTTCTTTTTCTAGGTTAAGGTACCTGTTTGACATTGAGACTGAATGTAAATTCCTGACTTAAGTCTCCTCAGCACTGTTTTTCTTTTGTGGTGCCAGGGATTGAACTTAGGGCCTTGTACTTGCCAGCCAAGTGCTTATTCTACTGAGTTATCTCTCCCGCCCTCCTCAGCACTGTTTTAATCAATTAAAATGTTAACATGAAGGGGAATAAAGATTTAATGCATGTTGTTCATATTGCTCTCTTGAAATTATAACAAATTAAAATTTTACAGAAAGAATATCAACTCACCATGTGTGTTAAGGCATTAAAAAGCAGTTTTCTCCCAGATGACGTATCAAAATCGGCAATAATCCACAAAGTGACTGCAGAAATTATATTATTACCTGAAAGTTTCAAATACATGAAATTAATTCTAAAATTACATTAAAAGAACATTTCTTTTAATAAAAATACATTTCTGAAAATGAGCAAACATTGTTAAAATTATGCATATACTGCTCATATGTACATACAAATAAAGATACTAGAAGAGTAGTGAATTGTATAACCTTTATATAAGGTCCATGCAAAAAAAGAAAAGTCCTCAAGGGACACATGTGACATGCTTTTAGAAGTATTTCAATTCTAAAAGTATTGAAGAGGCTTATATTGTGGCTTTCATGGTCTAGTGTTGGTAAATAAAACTGCCTTCTAAATATATTTGTGAAAAAATGGTATTTATAAGTCCTACATACAAAATGAAGACAAAACCACACTGATCATATATCCTTTATTACGTCTTTATTTATGTTATAGGAAGCACCTATAATGCAGGCATTTTTTAGTTTTTGTTTTTGTTTTGAATTTTGTTCAGGGTCTCAAAATGCAGCTTGGACTCATAGTGATCCTTCTGTTTTCAGAACCCCCAGCGCTGGGATTACAGGAATATGCCACCACACCCAGACTTGGGCACCAGCTCATCATGGCCAGAGGTGGGGCCAGTGCAGCATGTGATGCCAGGTATCGAACCCCAGCCCCTGTGCTTGTCTAAGCAGTAATACACGTAATTATGGGTATTATGCGATATTTAACACTGTCTAACTTATTTCACTTAGTATAGATTCAACTATTTCCTGCAAATGACATGATTTTTATTCAGTCACAAAGAAGAATGAAATCTTATAGGTTCTCATTTTTTTTTCTCTATGGCAAATCAGGCCAAATAAGACAAAGTCTAATTATCTTTGTCTATTTGAATAGTCAATTGTGCCTAAAAAATTCTGTGGTTCTACTGTAGACTGTTAGGCTAAATCTTTATTTCCAAATATTACTGTCTTGGACTTCTCCTTTGTGACCCCCAATTTAAGAAAAACATTCAGAGTTTGTTTACAGTCACAATACAGAAAAACTCGTATTGTCTGTGCTGATGTTGGGTTTATATTTTTATTCACATGTTGTATCAGTTTACACAGCCTTGTTAAAATATTTTTTACTTTCTTGAAGGGCAAAGATGGAAGAGCTTACTTTTTAAAAAGGTATAATCCAAGACAAAGTCCTTCTGCATATATGATTGATTAGGATAAGAAGCCTAATTTTCCTAGCACAATTTTTAAAGCATAACAGTTTATGTACAATAACAAAGTTAAATTCAGTCATAGAGAAAAAAATGGCAACATGGTTATATAAGCAGTTTGTTAAAATTGTAAGTTTTTATTGCATTAAGAATAAATTACAAAAAATAAAATGTTATTACCTTCTTCTGTTAAATAAAGCATGTTCTTTGCAATCACAGCGCTCTTATCTTGTGACTCCAAGAAAGAGAAAGTAGTGAAATCTCCAATCTCAGCAGTCACTGAAACATTTCATCATAAATACTTAACAATGAGTTAATGAAGCATAAAATCAAAGACTTTAGAACATTAAGTGCATAGTTATTTTACCTGATGAAGATATTAAATTCAGGTACTGATGTTTAGTGTGCAAAATCAAAGAATTTATGCGGGGCACAACATTGTTTCTATCCATTAGGAAATCAATTGCATTCATATGATCATTTAATGTGCCCTAAAATAATAAAAATGTGATTTAAATACTATAGGCAATTCATATGCATATTTTAAAATTATACGAATACTCATCTATAAATTTGATCAAAAATAAGTCAATAAACATGCAATTTAGGATTACTCAGATAAATTTTCTTGTAAAAATCATTTTTAAATTAATTTTTCAATGTACAAGATAAGTTTAAGTATTAATTTTATTTTATTTTTAAGTAGTAATTTTAAAATCAAGTAATCAATAAAAATTTTTATGTAACCTGTGCCATTAAAAAATTTAAAGACAATATCATTTGTAAATGTCATTTATGCATTTTCTCATAAAGACTTACCTACCATAAAAACATCTCTTTTTAAATGTACAGATGTAGCCTTCATTCTGCGAAGAACAGCAATTTCCAGTTCCTCACTCTTCATCTCTTCATGGTTAAAGGGCTCACCATTATAAAGAGCTTGAGGCAATGGACCCAGGCCAGACATTTTATAAAAATCTGCTCCTGCCTATTCATTAAAAAGTAGCAGAATATCAAACTGAAGTTGACAGTTTGAAAAGAAATATACAAGATAAAGGGACACTGGCACATTTTCATATATCATTTTTTGAAAATGCTAATTTTATCTGTTCTTTCCAGGGCAGGTAATTTACCTACACAGAGCAGGCATCAGGAAACTATTTCTGTAAAGCACCAGACTGTAAATGTTTTAGGTTTTATGAGCCATGTAGTCTGTTGCAAGTACTCACTTCTGATATCATAGCGCCAAGAGTTGCAAACAACATGAATTAATAAACATATCTGTATTCCAAAAATACTTTGTTTACAAAAACAAGCAATGGGTGGGCTCGCTGACCCCTGAAGCAGAGTATTGACATTTACTTAAAATCAAAATACTCACTTTTATCACACTTACTTTATCCCTGTCTTCTATTTAATAAGCAGGTACTGAATCATACCTCAGTATCAGGCTATAACCACCGAATATAGAGCTGAAAGCTTTCCAACACGCTGTTCACATGCTCAGAAGTAAAATGTAGGCATTACAAGATTCCCCATGGGACCATAAAGAAGCATCTAATAAAGCTTGACAATAGAGAGGTAAGGATCAGAGAAGCTTCTGCTAGAGACTGACACTGAAAGCCTGAAAGGATGAATTAAAAACTTGCCAGGAAGATGAAGTGAAGAAAGATATTCCAAATAAAGAGACAGAATAGCAAAAACTAGGAGGGAAGTGAGAATATGACAAATCCAGGCAATACCAGTGAAGACATGGTACGATACACAGGAGAGATCTGTCTGATACGGGACTGCAGGCATTCAGTCATAGCCAGATTGTGAAGGACTTTAAATCAAGGCTTTTATGTTATAAATGACAGTCAATAGATAGCTCATTTGACATTCAACACTAACAATTATCATTTTTCTGGCTAACATTCTCAAAAGCAATCTCAGAAGGCAAACGATTATCACCATATCTGAAACAGGAACAGAGTGTTTCAGATTTTGGAGTGTTTCAGAAATTCCACAGTATTTCTGAGTAGAATTAGGGAAGCTCAAACCTGTAGTAAACATTGAAGTGATGAAACAAATAAAAAGATTAAGTCACTTTCAGTGCCAAATAATTACCAGAATTTGTATTCAAATCGGTGTAACCGAGAGTCTGGACTCTGATCCATACACTACACTATCTCCATTTATTAGGCAGACACTACTAGGTATCAAGGCTTATAAAGGCATAAAAGTTATACATAAACTATACTCCAAAGAAACATTTAATTGAAGGAGACAAGGATATAGGATATATTAAAAGTGAGTATAGTATTCAGTGATACTGAAGATGCTATGGTCAATTCTATCTGTGAAGAAGAACCTTGACAAAGCTGTAGTATGATCAGATTTGCCTAGGAGGGCTGCAAGAAAAGCCAACATTTTGGCCCTAGCCTTCTAAGGTCAATTAAGACTCAGGACATATGAGAATTTATACTGTAACTTCATATAACTAAGTTGTGTCTCAAATTTTCTGATCAAGGAGATTATGGGGCCAAAGAGGAAAGTGATCAATGATGTAGAGTGTGCCTAAAGAGAGTCACATGGAGAGAAAACATTCTCTCAATCTTTCACAGAGGGCACATTGGCCAAGCAATGGCTGTGACTCATCCACATGGCTGACACTGACAAAGGTTCTACAATCTGAGGTACAGGATCTCAGGATAAATCCTGAGGG